TAGGGCGCTCGACTCGCAATCTGCGAATCCCTGTCCCACCAAACATGCTCGCCTTTTCAGTCATTCTCACTAATCGTTGGTAAAAGAGTATCCCAATAGTTGGCGGTGGGTGGTGATGACTATCTGCCTTTCATTACTAAATTAGGGTTGGCTAGCACAGATAGTCCTCGTGTAGTCTTTGCGCGAAAACCGAACCAACTAAAGGAATACGGATGGACCATGCATTCCCGATCGGAAAGCCAACTAAAAAGATGAAATTCCTCAGTCAAAATTAAATTCCTCGGGAATGTAATATTTCAATCCCTGGGATAGGACCTTTATGACCTAAAGCGAACTAAGTTCAGTAGTACGAAAGACATAACTGCTAGATCTAGCCTAACCACCTCAAATACTGTTAAAACTGACGCTCAAAATCACCAATATTCTGTAAATTAACAAAAATAGACCACACTCACAATTTATTAAAACCTACTAGAAAATACACGTTACCATCTGTTTATAAAGTGGTTTTATTAAAAGTAATCTATAAAATTGTTTACTTACGTTTGTAGAACAATTACATTAAATTACTTGAACATTTTGTAAGAATCTGGTATTAAAGATGTAAAAAAAATATATCTATGATCGGAATTTGCTCGATTATAAACCCTGGTAATTGAAAACTGACGAAAAAGGAGGCCACATACAATAATCTATACAAATAAAATAGCCTGTGTGTGTCAGCGCAATAGATACAAGAGGAAAGAACTTAGAGACCTGAAATTTTGCAAGCATACTAAGGGAATTCTTAGGGTGCACCTGGGTATTATTTTTATCTCAAAAAGAAAAATTTGGCCAATCTTTTTTGGTCTATAATTTTGCCCTATAACTTCTAAGCCATAAAAAGATAAGTGTATGCTGCCATCTGTCGCTTGGTAGAACAAATTGTTAGGGAATAAGTGTTTAACAATAAAAGTTTCGTGACAACAGGTTTAAACAAAAATAACACATACAAAATGTTAGAATTCATATTATTAACGGAAATGATTATACTTAAATATTGGTTCGTTTGTATTTCTGATTTTCAAATCGATAAAAAATATTTTTAAATAAAAGTCGTTATTACCCGTGCAGCGAAAAAAAACAACAAACTAATTTGACCTTATTTCGAAAAAAAAAAAGATTGAAAGAGATACGAATTATGCAATATTTTCTTCAATCATTTTACAAAAATCATTTCTGAACAAGCAGTGCAGCTGTGAGTTTCACCAGTGAGAGGAGAGGAAACGCCTACTCAGGAAGAGTATCACAAAAGGTAAGCGATATTTTCCATCATGCTTAATTAGCCCCTAATAAATGTTATTTAAGACTCATAAAGTAGGTAAATTAATATGTTGAATTGTACACGGACTTTTATCTACGTTAAAACACTTTTATTTGCGTGCTTTCGGCACTCTTACCGCAGCCTTCATCGGGCAATATTGTACTGAGCGATAAAAATTCGTTAACTGCGGAACTCCATTTTAAAATAAGTATCTAGGCAACAGTCGTAACAATAACCGACATCTGGTGCTAAAGTTATTAAATACTTAGAAATATGATGAATCTATATAAATATAATAATAGTACTGCCTGTCCATGTAACTACTTCGCAGGGTGTGGATGGATTTTCACCAAAATTGGCATGGAGGTTCATTGGGTCCATAGGGAGATACATGCAAATTTATGGTTTCACATTTTGTTTTGTAGATTTTATGGGCGTTTTTTTTTTTTTTAGAATTACATATAAGGGAAGCAACTTTTCATGTCCCAAGATAACCTTTCATTAATCATGAATATACATAACTTCCGTCCAGTGGACGGATACTCCAGAGTATAGAATATAAATCGATTGGTTCGATATAATAAACACAAGTAAACTACAATTATAAGTATTATGTAGAGAAATATATATATAAGAATTTTTTATGCTTCAAATAATACATTGTAAAATTAAAGGTAATTTGTTTGTGTAAGTTTCTAAATATTGTCTTTGATTTTAAATTACAAAGTAAGTTGAGTAGTTTGACTAGCTGAGAGAGTGATTGATTATATTAATTAAATAGAGGGCTGAACAAGAGTTATTGTTTTCTATATTTTTAAAAGAAACCACGCTTAAAAGTGTTAGAATTCATATTATTGACGGAAATGTTTATATTTAAATGTTTGTTCGTACTAATTTCATATTCATAGAATGCTTGAAAACAGTTATGTTTTTCTATTCAGTATTAGTACATTTATGCATTTGACATGTATTATTACATGAAAACGAAATTTTGATCCTTTCTGGGTATTATCTGTTCAGATAATACCCAGGCAACGCCGGGTAAGAACGACTTGTAAAATATAAAATACATATGCTGAATATCGAAATGACCACACAGATTACTTTGTTATCTAAGTGATTTCGGTATATAAGAACTGGATCAGGTCTTCTAGTTTAATATTTTCTCCATATTTGAAATTTTCTCTAGTAATATTAAACTTTTCTATTTTTGTTTCGTTTGTTTGTAGTTAAGCACAAAGCTACACAATGTGATATCTGTGCTGTACCTAACTCGGGTATCCAAACCCGGATTTTTAGCGTCATGGGCCTACAGACTTACCACTGAGCCACATTCTCTAACAAAGATAGCTCACGCTCGCCTCCTTTGAACAGCGACAGATCAACGTTTGAAGATAGTGAGTCCTCAAGACCGTGATAAAATAAGTAAACACAAAGTTACCATCACCATAAAACATGTATAAAAACTGAAAAGTTAAAAACACATGTTGGAGTAGTCATTTTGGATATTAATGTTGTACTATTAATTGCTCCAGTTAAAGAAGTTAAATATATTGTCATTTTAAAATAATAAATCACTGTTTTGTGTGTAACACAAGTTCTTACATGAACTTTGGTGTTTATGAAATTCCACAGTTCCTGAAAAAACTTGGTAGTTTGGTGTGAAATATTCTTAATTTTGGAAAGTCATATCACAATCAGTTTGTATAACGAATTCTGCTGTCTTTCAACGTTATTAACACAGTCTTTTATAATATTCATTCTTTTTGTTAATGTGGTTACCATTTTACATATAAACACTAACTTAAATATTACAAGTTGACATATAAGTTACATAACTCTACTTGGCATTAAATAGTCTTTGCATATAAATTAAACATTATGAATAATGTGAAATTAACTATTGCTAACCAAACATTAAATTATATTAATTTCAAAAACAACAACAAAAAAGTATTTTTTATAACAGCACTTTTCATATTACTTGATAGCAACATTTATAAAATATATACATGTACTATAGGACAGTTTAACATTTAAATGTTTGTTTGTTTTAGAAGTTCATAGTTACCTGTGATTCATTTAGAACAGATATACAAAAGATAAGGCTGCCAGTCAACTACACCCACCATCAACTCTAAGGCTTCTCTAATGAAATAGTGGGATTTAACCATTACTTTTATAAAACACAGAGCACATCTTACAGCAGCGAAATGCAAGCTACAAACCCACAGATTCAGTGTAGCATGCTAACCATTAATATATATACATGAGTTAGTCAGTGTTTATTCTAATAGTTTGACATGATATTTGTGTAATTTTATAAGCATGAATCTTTACATTCAGCTGCTTATGTTAGTAAGATAAGTTTCAGTGATAAGAAAATTTTACTTTTAGTTATTCTTAATAGAGTAGCAACAGTAATAGCTTTTCATATTAAGTACATTTACTTGTTCTAGACACACTAACTACAGCTATTTGTAAGGGGAGAGTGAACCAATGTTTTGTAGTGTGAATGAGCCAGTCAGCTGTACATAAGCCAAATCCCAAAATAACAAGAAATACCATATGTGTCTATATCTATCTATATATGTGTAAATATATGAAAATGTATAAAAGTTGACTGAGGTAAGTATTATGAGATGAACTAATATTCTAGTCAACAATTAAAAAAGTGGGCAACATGATGTTTTCTCCACTATTTTATGTATATTTAAGTTTTGTTTGGTTTGTCAAATAGAAAAAACAAAACAAGATAGGTGCATAAAATAAATGATAATCTACTCACAAGGAATGTAACAATTTATACTTTTGTTCTTCTTAAGTTTTTTAAAATCTAAGCAATGTTTTCCAGAAAAACTAGATTTGAGTAATACAAAGTTTAGTACGACAGTAGGCCAGTGCCTCATTCTACAACAGTACTAAGTTTTCAGTTAAGACAAGATTTCACAAACCAATATTTTTTTATCTACTGATCCATGTACTAATTAGTAAAACTTGTTTCTCTTATATGCCATATAGATTTTCAAATTGTATGTAGTCCTTTTATTTTCTCACTGTTCACAATATATATCAATATCAGTAGAAATAGCTACTTTATGTTTTTGGCTTTGAAAACAGTCATGTCATAATTAGTTTGTATAACAAATGGTGCTGTTTTTCAATGTCTTTTTGATAATGTGGTTTAAATAATTAAAGGATGTTTATTTTCTGTTTCATTCCATGACTGCCCCAGGTAAATATCATCCAAGTCTCGATTATCAATAATTTTACATGATCATTTCCAGAAATATCATCAAAATTAAATTTCGATGATTGCTTCAACAAATATTATGAAAAATAAAGTTAGCATTTTCTGAACTGTTATAGTAACAAAGGGGGTTTGGCTAAATGATCCGAGATGTACAACTAATACAGCTTTGTTACACAAAAATAATTAAGTTTCATTCTAGGGCAAAACTACAAAAAAAATTTTGTTGGTCAACAGTGACCAACACAATGTGGTTTTAACTAAAAAGAAAGTGTAACAGTTCACAAAACTGTTTTTCTGTGATGGATAACTATGACATTAAGTAACATTTTATTTTAAATATTTAATACAAGTAGACATTACACGTATGCTTAATGTAAACAAATGTTAGTACAAATACCTTGATAACAAAATGATTCATAAAATATGATACATTGTAAAAACTCATAATGGGTGTAAAAATAATTTTTATTTTTCATTCTTTCTTTAAAAACACAGATGAGTACTGGAACATTCCAAAACTTTCTTTAGGACATGTCAGATGTATTCTATGGGTTCTGTTATTCCATGACCTGACCTCATTAAAGTTGTACATCTGAAGATATTTATCGAGAAAGAGAGAGGGGGGTATTCTTGACCATAAAAATAGTTGGTGCCACTGGGCTATGTCTCCTATACATCTTTATTGAGCTTTATAAATAGATGTTGCAAGGACAAAAGGTACCTAAAATAAATCTCTTTCTCTACTATGAAAGATTCGGTGTACTCTCCATTTCACAAACAACCTTTCAGTTTCTTTCATGTTACAAGCATCAAATGTTATACACACCTGAGAATGTACACAAAACTGTTGCGCACCCAATATAACAAGAAATATTTTCGGTTAAAGACATATCCCGTGATAATCCAGTTGGTTCTCACGAGTCTTGTGAAAGTAGTTCGGCACCTACTCATTGTGTCTTGTACAAGCTGCTTTATCTTATCAACCCACACTTCAACCTGTATAATCTTTAACATGATCAGAAACAAACATTTTCAATGGGCAATGTTCAATAATCACACTGGTAAACATTTTAATGCTTACACATACAATTTATACAGTCTTTCAAAAAAGTTAATTCCTGGAAAATGATACTACACTTTCAGATTACACAGACTTTATCAAAACAATATACTTCTGGATCAACAAGTGGCATTTATACTGTACAAAACAGTTACAGCAATTATATATTATCCCTAAGATATCAGCCAAGATATACTTTTATTTAACATATTTGACTCTTTAAGTAACCTGAATTAAAAATAACTCATTAATTTAAAAGTATTTAAATATGTTTTTCTGAATATGAACGGAAATCGTAATCTCCATTTTTTCCCAAGTATAGTTAAGATGGATGATTAAACTTTGTTTTCATATACTGAAAAGTTCTTACAGTTTATTAAATGAAATGCCAAAGAATAAAAAAACAAACGATATTTAAATTACTGTTCTAAATACAATACTTTTATATATTCCTGATAAATAATTTTACATATAAACCTTTTTACATTTACTCAACTATGGCTCAAAAGACAACTTACAAATTGTCCCGAGTATAAATATTACTATTTCTAAATGGATTTTAACAGCAATAATTCTGTTTAATGCAACAATTATTTACATTTCACTTTCAGTAAAACATATAACAGATTTATATAAACATTGTGTAAAATTGAAAATTAGTCCCAAGTGCTATAAAGCTCACTTGACATTTCCTGAAAAGTACAAAGAATGAACGAAGCAACTCCAAAGTTCTTATTCCTATATTTGTTGTAAATCAATATTAATAAATGTTAACTTATCTTTCAATACAGTAGAAAAATACAAAACATTTCTATTTTGGTGATTGTAAAAAAAAATCAATATATGTACAAAATGGCTAGATATACAAGTAATTTGAGTAGTAATCTTAGTGTTGAGTCATTATTAATTTACTTTATTTTTATAAGAAATTATATTAATAGATTATCTAACACTTAAAGATTTTTCCACAGAACTGAACCATCATTACATGCCATGTAATAAATAACTCTTCACATCACTACATTTAATGGAAATGAATATTTTGTATTCTATGAACAACACAGAACTAAGCAAACCCTTGTACTGCTTGCAATGTTGATGATCCATCACTAGTATCACTACCATGTAATTGTTTCATATTAAAACATTGTAGCTTATCTATTACAGCAAACCAGTTTATTAAGTCATTCTACAATATACGTATATCTCTCTCTCTCTCTCTTTCTCCTGATTTAAGACATAGTACTTTTGACCTTTTGTGAAATATTAATAAATTAAGGTGTGCGAGGTCATTTACTGTAAAATTAAACCAGTACATTTTTTAGGTGATGTAGCTACTATTTTCTTATGATCCTTCAAACTTAAATGATTTTAACAGTTTCATAACACAAAAACAGCTGCTGGACCAATGAAGATAACAAGTTTTCTAATCAATCAAATTTAGTAATGTAACAATATTAATGATTTTGCACTTACTACATAGTTAACTTAAAAAACACATTTTAATTTTCAATATGTTCCTGTTTTGAAACAGACAAAAACCTCACCATTACTCTAGATAACATTGATAAATGTATTAAATATAATGTTTTGATTTTTTCTAAGTTTATTATGATTGTATATTCAACTGCATCAGGTTGATTTTTAGTTTTACTCTAATTATATATATCTTTCTTCTGATTGGAAGATATTATTAATTGTAAAACTATCACTCAAAATGTCTCAATACTATATTTTAAAGATATATAATGTATATAAATTATGTTTATTGATGTATACATCTATTCAAAATTTTCAGTCTTTCACTAGGTTTTAAATCTAAAGGAATTATTTAAAGATGATTTTAATATTTAACTTTACAATATTACTAAACTTCAGTAAACATAGTAATCCTCTCAATGTTCAGAAATCGAAAAACTACAGGTGAAAGGTATGTGATTGTGAAACCAATTGCACTATATGTGAGGTATTTGAAAAAAACTTGTACAGTATGTTTCGTCTTCAGATTTTGAGCATCAACTTTTAGTATATTACAGATCACAGCATACAACATGCTCTTAAAAATAGCTCTTGTTGCCACTATGCAAGAGATTCCAATGGAAGCTCGGAGTAAAGCTAATCCAACCACATGGTAGTCAGGCCATAGAATCTGATAAGGTGGAGGGAGGCCAGGACCACAGATGATTCCCAGCTTGTAGTTTAACCAAGCTCCTACTATCAAGCCAGCTCCAGAACCTAGAATAATGGCTGTATCACTCCGGGCTGGAGTCCAACGGTCCGATGATGGATAAAAAACAACGAGCAACATGGTAAACAAAATGGCCACCAAGGGAGAGAAGCGGTGTGTCAAGAAAAAACTGTCCATGGTATCAATGATGGGAAGCAAGACAACCATTAACAGGGTCACTAAGAACAATCCTCCTAGTATGTCCTGGAGTATTAAAACATCTTTGTTAAGAAATCTCCAAGAACGTTCTGAAATTCTAAATACCAGTTAGGAAGACAGCTATAAACACAGATCTAAAGTAACTCAACATCAAAACACACTCTTATGTTCAAGCACGTAATACTAGGCATTAGAAAACGAAACATGGGTAGAATAGGTTTTTGTTTTGTGTAGTGAAATTTAATTATCACCAAAGTCACTGGCTTAAACATTATATACTATTTAGAATGTGCAAAACTTGTGTACTTGAGAATGATCGCACCAGTGACCAGACTGTTGTACTTGCTCTAAAAAGTAATCTTCCTTACTGGTACAAAGAAACCTTGATTACCAAAGGAGTTTTGGAAGGTAGACCTTTTTTCAGGATAGAACCATTTCCTCACCCTAAATAAAGGAAGGTGTCTACCTTCTGAAAACACTCAGTAATGTTTCCTGTCAGTTTGGTAGTCTGAAGTTGTTGTTTGTTCTAAAGCAAAGACGTTATTAGTATTAATCAGACTTACTTTTGTTCATGAAGTCGGAGATCCACATGTTTGCCAGTCTCACCAATGCATAAGTCACCAAATGGGCAGAAAGCTTGATACACAAGATTATTAAAAAATGTTAATTTAAAAAGAGGGGAATAAGGATCTTCAAATAATTACAGAAACAAGATAGGTAGCTTAAAATGAAAATGTAATTGCGAAAAAAAAGTAAACAAACAAGCTTATGGTTTGAGACATAGTGTTGACATTATTTTCTCAAGCTACAAATCCCTATTTTGACTCCATGTTTAAAAGCTGTAATATTTAGGAGAGTCAAAATAGGCACTTGTAGCTTGAAAAAATGATTTCAACACTGTGTCTCAAACCATAAGCTTGTTTGTTTAATTTTTTTTTTTTTGGTGATTACATTTTCACTTTAAGCTACCTATCTTGTTTCTGTATTTTTTTTTGAAAATCCTTATCCCCCTTTTAAATTAATAATTTTTAATAATCTTGTTTCTTTAGTTTTTGTTATGTCCATCATGGACATAAATCTGTATAATAACTATACTGTCCTATTTGAAACAGTTTAGTTTAATGAAATACGTAATTGATGTATGATGCTCTTTCATGAAACAATGACAACCTTTGGATTGGCTTCATGCAGATTGGATGGCTATTGCTCCTGATATCATTGATAGTGGTACTACATGTATGATCACCATGATGCATTGTGATCAACATACCACATGTTATGTATATGTTTGTAAAATATATATATATATAGCTACTATATTTACATACCCTGTAGCTATATGAAAACACTATATTGGAGGGACTACTAAACTATGCTGGAATGGTGCATGAACTAGATTTTGTAACTGCAAGAGTTTTATACATGCACGCACACGTAATGCATGTTAGCTAGTATTTATATCTCTAACTATAGACATATATGTACACATGCAGGCTTTATAATTTTTTAAGTTGTAAAGCCATATATACATATTCAATGCAGATATAAGACAAGTGTCATAATATAATAGTATATGTATACAAATAAGCATTTTAATATTTCTTGTTTTATTTCCTCCTCTCTGCTGGCCATGGTAAGGCCAGTCACGGTTTTGCTGCAGCTGGACAGATTTCCTCTTAGAGTGACATTCTGCACACTCTAGAAGATTGAAAACATGTTAATTAACAATTATGAATTGTTTATATTAATATACCCCCCCATTTCTGATGGAGTTTGGGCCGTGACCCCAAACTCCTGTGGGCCATCGCTGATGCATACTTTATCTGGAACTAAATATTTTCTAAATAAAATATATAGCTACAAAATTTCTGCCTCACTTTTGCCTAGAATCACCATCATTTTTGCATCTCCTGCTTTCACAATTCTTGCCACTCCTTATAGACAACTTCAAGGATGGCTACTCTATCTGCAGTATCTATAAAATTCTCAGTCATGCAGTGTTGGCTATAATTCAACACTTACCATAAGCCATCACCGTGATTGCAGATCTGATGCTCGAAAATGAGCTTGGTGCTATCCTTTAAACTATGGACTAAAGATTTCCATTGTGGGTGACAGCCTAGACATTTGTATAAATTTTTAGACGTTTGTGTAACATGGCCAAAATCGACCATGCAGTAGTAAAAAAACTGTTGTCCTGTCAACAGCATTGTATCCGATAGGGCAGGGACCTTATATATAAACAATTGATATGCAACATCAATACAATTGCAACAATAAGTTAATAATCGCTATGGTACATGTGTCACGCTTGCCATATAAACATTAAATATCCACAATCTGCATGCAGCTATATGCACATAGTAGACTGAGGCTCAATATAAATCGCAGACTATATCAAAATGATAGGGTGTCAATGGTTATACAGCCACTGTTATTTGCTAGGTAGTCAAATAAACCTAAAAATTATCTTGCACAATGATGCATTTAGTAATATTATCCAGGTTTTATTCCAATACTCACAACCATTTTTGCTGTGGGATGGTGGAACAATATTAAATAATAATAAAGAAGAACAAAAGGGTGATCCCTATAATGAACCAATACCATGGTTAATGATATGTTTGATTAGAACTTTTAATTTTGTGTAATTGCTTTTGGCAGGGCTCGATTTTAACGGTCGTCCGAGAGGACTAAAACTTCCTCGAACAACCAACTTAAACCCCTATGTCGTCTGACAGATGACTAGCATCCTAAAACACACCCTTACACAAAGCAGCATCACAGTCTATTGTACACTTATCCAGACCCACACTACACACGTAATGTTGACTCCAATATTTGACAAAAATCATCAGTAAATCCCTTAACTATGAACTTCACAATTTGAACTCCCACAAAAATATATTTTGTATATTTTTTTTATTTAAAAGAGATTGCACTTTGTACAAGAGAAATGTTGATACAATCCACCATAAGGGGCTGTAAACATTAGTAAAAGTTTGCTTTTGTGATTGGCTATTAATGCTGTTTTAGTCACAAAACATTCTATCATGGACAAGCTGCACCTCTGTGCTGCTTTATGCATGTAAATTTTATATGGAGTTCAACTGAGCATGAACTGCTATATGTGGTAACACAATACATTGTATTGCGTGATGTTTGTATGCAAACATAAGGGAGTGAGGGAATTTGCAACAAAAACGAACACAGATAACACAAATATTTAGCGAGATTAATTTCTATTATAGATGCTTATGACAATAAAACTAACATGGTTGTCTCAACGTCTTCCCGATAAACCTTTGGAAGGAACTAAAATGATCAAATTTACAAAATCAAACTCAGAATTTTCATCGCTAATCATCACAGTTGATACTCTGACCCCCTTTTGATTATGCACGTATAGGCCTAAGGCTAATGTTAGACAGATAAGACCACTTGAGTCTAGGAAATACGGAAGGCATAGCTACCATAAGAAAAGCAGGAAAATCCATGAATTAAACAGAACATAATAATGATAACTGCAAACAAAATTTTATGAAAGTTTCAATCAGTAAGAAACTGAATAACAAAAAATAAAATAAGGCCAGCTTTGCCTCTCCAGGCCAATACAAATTACGAGTATGAAGAACAATAGATATGAGTGGTGTGCGTGCATGCGTACATGTGCAGCGCTCAGGCACTGTGTACGTAATACAGTATAGCAATACATGTGAGAGTTCCGATACAAGCCTAGTCTTACTACAGGCTGTACCTTACTGTACTTGGCAGACAGGCAAGTTCGTTAGAATGAAGATGTTGAACGTCATTGGTAAGATCACTATTCTGTTTAAAAGTTTTACAGGTCATTGGCTGTTTGTTTCCTTAAGATAATATGTAACATTAACATGGTTTGGGCTTATTTTTTCCACTGTAATGAAATTTCCCAGGAAATAAAGCATCAAAAAGTAGTTGAATATGGATGCAAAATTGCCAACTGAACATTAATTGTACGTTTTGGAAATAAACAAGATACAAAAACATCAAAATTCTTGTAACTGAGTCTTTATACATCAATATTGTTGTAACTGAATCTTTTTTGATGGTCTATGTTTGCCGTTTTGTGGACAACATCCGATACAACCTGGAAATTTCCTTAAAATTGAACCCTGTTTTAGTAACCCTACTTTTAGATAAGAAAGAAAAGCCAAAAAATTAATCAAGTTTACTAAGAAATGTATCTCTACAAGTGCAAGACCCATGAACTTCAAAGGATTCTGAATTTCACAAGTCAGATGTTTCCTTAAAACCTGTAGTTGGGATCAAGTCATGGAATCTCCAAGTTTGTATCAGAAATTATCTCCTCATTTAGATACCACTTAAGAACAACAGTACAGAACTCTAACAGTTTCTTAAACAAAATCTAATTCATAACCACCCCTTTGGATTCCATCTAAATTAGGTTTGTTATTAAGGGTAAGCTCTTCAACATATGTCCAAAAACCTACCTGTTACTTACAAAGATTGAAAACTGACTAATGCCTTACAGCATGAACTAAAAGTATCAACAGACTAGCTTGACACTTCTGATGCTTTACACTGCAATGACTTTTATTTTCACATAAATGATTCCTTTTGTGAATGACAGTCTGGCCATGGGTTGTCTTCACTCTCTCGAATTCAGCAATATCTAAGAAATTTTGGGCATGTTTTATCTGTAGCATAACAAAAACCATACATCTGGATTATGTTGAAAATACTTCTTGTTTGACAACATAGCAGAGAAACTGTTCAAGTTCACCAGGGGTAAAAAGAAAACAACTGTTTTATTAGTTCCTGTTGAAACCCACATTATTACTTTATCCAACACTGATCCAATCATCTCAGGCCACTTATACAAAATAGATGTTCAAGTGGATACCCAGTGCTACTGCTAGATTTTTAGTATTTGATATTACTCACAAGAGAAGAAGACCCTATAATTATGCATAACACGATAGTAGACAAATCTTATTGCAGGATTACAAAGAAGACCATTGGTCTTATCTGCTTGTAAGGAAGTTAAATTCTGATAAACTAGCATTTGCATCTGCTTGGTTAAGGAAGTCAGAATAGATATGATAAGATGCCTGTATAAATGAGCCACCATACTCAGTGACTAAGAACACACCTCATAAAAAGTCAGCACTTCATAAAGGTTTTCTACACCAACTGCATTCCTGCAAGACAAATTAACAAAGAGACTATACAAAAGATTACCAACCTATAAACTTAAGATATTCTCCATATTTAATTTTCATTCAACTCCTACAGATTCTGCTAGAATCTCCAGATTCAAATGTATTTTTCAGCAGGCAAGCACTACAAAACCAATTGATAAATGAAAAAAACAAAACAAATATGATTATAACAAGTTTGTTGCTCTTGCAGCAACTTATAGATTGGTGAAACTGACAAACAATTGAATTAGAAATCTATCAAATAACCAACTAGTGATGACTAAACTACAATAGCTAGAAAAACTACAAGAATGACAAAGCAGAAAACTTGAAAATGAAGATGATAAAAGAGCACTAGATATAAGAAACAATATAGCAGAACACAATGTAGATCTACGATTAGCAATAAATAACATTTGGACCCCACTTATTAACAGAATAGTCTTAAAGAGCTCTGTCAGAACTTGTCAATTCACATCTGCTCAGATTAAAATATCCATACAAATCACAGTCAAAAGGCAAACACAAGTACAAAATATGAATTCTTCAAGGCAGACTATTTAAAGTAAGCAATAAAATCAAATATTTCTTGACAGCACAAAGAAACTGTGATATAATAGACAAAATATACAATTTTAGACCAAGTAAAAAAAATTACATGTTTAGCATCCCCTCCCACTTCCTTTTCTTGCAACTACCTTCCCCACTTTTTTCGCAATTTTTTTTGGAATTATCATTTTTCAACCGTACAAAGAAACAAAGACTTCTGAATTAAAAATGAGATGAACACAGTTGATTCATTTTGCCATTTTTCTATACTTGTCATAAATTCTGTGCCATTTTGATGAACTAATAAAACAAGGAAAACTCCTGTTTGACATGGACCCTTTGAAAACAAGCAACAATCATAAAGAAAAAGGTGCAAACATTCTCTAAAAAGAGGTAATTAAAAAAAAAAAGACCCCCCTTCCTTTTTTTGAAAACTCCAGAGACTAAACATATTCATGTTTGTTTATTTTTACTTGGCCTTACTCAGTTTTATTATTCCAATTTTTAAAACTTTTATGCTGATTTACATTATTTCTATTTGTAAAACCTAGCCAACTAAGACTGTGCTAACAAAATATTTTGTACTTAATGTGCAGCTATATAATAATATATTTTGTAACTAAAACTTCGTATTTACTGAACAATATTACTGAATCTCTGAAATGTATAACTGGTATATATATTTCTTGAATCAAAAATAGTTACACCAGTAAGTCTAATGTGCTATACACAGTGTATTTCCAAAGGTCTAATTTCTTGATCATGTTTTAACTCTTTAAAAATGATAGCAATATGAAGTATCAAAACTTGTACATTCATACACATATCTACAATAATAAGTGCTATAATACAAATAAGATTTTGTAAGTTAAAAAAATGTTTGGAAATGGTTTATAGAAATTTCTTTACATCACAAAAAATTATAAGTCCTATACAATTATAAAAATCAAAATACTTACCAATATGGTATGCATCCCCATGTATAAACGGCTACAGCAGACTAACGCACACCATAAAATTGCTATAAGTAATCCAATAACGATAGGATACTGAAATTAAAATATAAATATAGTAAAAGTTTCTATACAAAAGTCTTTTATTAGATGTCCAAACCTGTAGCAACTTAATATACATAACACACAATTCCAGTTTTGTTATTACTCTAACTTCAAGTTTTGTTTACAAAAGCGTATATACAAAGAACACTTTTTAAAGAAACCTCTAATAAAAAAAAATGTACAAAAAAAAGTTCTGGCCTGAAATTTGAGAAATATCCATTGAGTCTTTATTTATCCATGGTTATCACAGTGTCAGAATACAATGAAAAATCAATACATCAAAATATTTTGACCAGTCAAGGCAGTTATTTATTACATTGATTAAAAGAAATATTTACTTATATATATATATATATATATATATATATATATATGCATTAATACTACCATTGTTAGCAGTGGACTATCATTATTTATAGCTTTACCCAATGTGTTTATTAATATTTCTTGTATCTTTTTAAATAAAGATTATATTTTAAATATTTCAACAAAAACTTAACTGAAATTACTTTACAAATTATACCTTCTAAATAAACTTATATTTACTACTTTACCTTCACGGTACCAAAAAAAAAGAAAAGTTTTACCAATAATAGAATCATACCTCATATCTATGCATGGTGAATATCAAGAGAGAAAATGGAACAGCAGCACCAACCATAGCATGAGTTGATGGCATACCATACTCTTCGGAATAACCTGGCTCCAGTTGAACTACTGGTGGTGCAGATGGTCTTGGCCAACGAATAATATCTTTTAGTGCCTGACCAACATACATAATTAAAACCCACACCATAATCACTCTTCGTCCAACAGCACCATCTATATTCCAGAACCAAAATGGAAAAAAGCTTGAATAGAATAATTCATACCCTAGACTAGCTCCAAAGGTAAAAAAATAATACCAAAACTTGTTTCTGATTTCATATTCTGCTTGACATTCACTGTCTGAATCAATGTCTGATACAGAAAGTTGAACACCTTCTACATCAGATGGAGTACTACTTCGGATGCTGTCACAGCTGCATTCTCTCCGATGTCGATACCTTGGTTCTTTTTCCCACAAACAATCCCCATTTGACACAACTGAACCATTTTGTGTTAGATTTTCCTTAAAGTTTTTCTGGCAATCTACATTAAAGTTCTTAAGTATCTCAGGATCAGTGAGCTTACACTGTAAGCAGTTTCTGATATCTGAATGCTTGCTTTCAGCTTCACGTTCTGTCCGATAAACTCCAAAATAGTTTTGAAACTTCACAACAGTATAAGGACTTTTCAGTTTCTTAATTATAGTTTCCATCCTAGTAGTAGTACTAGTACTCAGTAGCAGTAAGATTCCTACTAAAGAGTTACTTAGTTAGACAGGTCCAATACTGGCAAGTTTTAAATTTAATTATGTGAAATCGCTCTGTAGAATGTATTCTAAGACACTTACTTTTAAATGAGAGCTGAAACTTAAATTATAATTTTATATTCTAAAAGTAGAAATAAAATTTTGAAAAAGTTTGAACTTTATACTTTTGGATTGTAACATTCGATAACCTAACTACCTATTCACGATTAAAGTATTTAATCTTGTGACTAACACACTTCCTCCGTTAACGCCCGCTGCATTTGAGCGCCATCTAAAGGCTTAGAAGTTTTGAACCGGCGTTCTAATTATCATTTTATTTATATATGTGAGTGTTCTACTTATCACCATTTTATCTATATATGTGTACCTGTGGTATTTTAGAGGCATACAATTTACGACTGTATAGCTGGCTCTTTGAAATAACAGTTTGAGAGTTAAATATATTTTTGTTTTTGTCTTATTTGTTGTTATACTAAGCAGTTCTAACTTTGATGATACCTTTTGTTTGTTTATTTGTTTTGAATTTCGCGCAAAGCTACACGAGGGCT